AGGAAGAAAAATAAGGCTATAGCTGTGGCTACTCACAGTAACGTGGTCAAAGTCTTGCCCCATTTCTGGGGAAGATGCAACCAGATCCTTCTCCGCAATCCACTGCTCTAAGTCATCTGCTTCCCTCTTCAGCTGGAACAGGTGGTACATGTTCTCCAGCTTTCGCTTGCGTTCCTCTGCCATGTCCTTCAGCCCCGCATACTGTTTGTCCACTTGCCCCTGAAGTCTGATGATCTGTTCTCTGGAATTCAAACCAAGAAAAAGTCCTCAGCAATGGAACTGAGAACCCAAAGCAGACAGCTCACAGAGGCACCAGCACACTTGTCTCCCCAGCCTGTGGTAGGGACAGATGGAGACTGAAACACAGGAGAAATGAGAGTGACTTTCCTTGGAGAAGAGATGGGGAGAGAAGCCAGTGTTTCTCCTTTTACTCAAATTCATCTTAGACCATGGTGACTTGGGATAACAGAAATGTGTCCCTCCTGGAGCTGGGGCTCCTGCTTCTGTCCTCACACTAGGAAGCTCACAAAACCAAAACCAAGTGCCATCAAGCCAATTCCAACTCACAGCAACCCTATAGGGCAGAGCAGAACAACTCCATTGGGTTTCTAAGGCTGTAAATCTCTTCAGAAGCAGACTGCCTCATCTTTCTGCCACGAAGCAGTTGGTGGGTTTGAACCACCAACCTTTTGGTAAGCAACCAAATGTCTTAACCACTGCAACACATGAGCTTCTTGGGAAACTCATAGAAGCAAGTGCAAATGGTGAGCTGCTTTGTTATGCTTCCACAGAGGTTGATGGAGCAGTGCTGTCTAAGTGTGCGGCCCTGAAAGCAGAAGTCCTGCTTAGTGCTTCAGGGAAGTAGAAGCAGTGCTGGGGGCTTAGTCCTCATGGTTCCTGGGGAGACATTTAGGGTGGTTGTTGAGTACCTAAAGCCGTGGATGCCCTAATGGCATCCTCAGGGAGTCAGCCTGAGGAGTCTAGCTGGATGGGCTCCCATTCATGCAGAATTCAATCAACTGAAAAGTTTAGATGAGTATGTTTTCCACCTTAGAATGAATTCCACCATATAATGATTTTGCTGAGACAGTATGAGTCCCAAAGTACCTTCTAGACCATAAAAAGGGAAGCAAAATTAGTTTCCAGTGTCTCTTAGCATATTCTAACTCTTCAAGAAATTGGTGTTCTCACTTAACTAAGAGTTTTGCTATCTCATTCTCTGCTCTTATCGCAAACCAGGCCTTAGTCCACCCAGCCTGAAATTAACCAAGGCATAAAATGCAGTCATGCCAATCAACAGTCCAGAAAGCAGTTTTCTCAAACTACCCCTCTTTTTTTTTTTTTTTTTTTTTTTTTTTTTTTTTTTTTCTCTTTTTTTTTTTTTTATTTTTTTTTTTTTTTTTTTTTTTTTTTTTTTGAAAATAGTTCCTATTTTCCCCACTTTGACTTAAATGGATATTGGTTGGTGGGTAGGAGCCCCCAGCCTGACACTTATGACCTGGGCCAGATCTCCTCAGGAGGCTGCACGTACCCTTCAGGGTGGCCTGCAGACAGCAGGCTCTGGGCCCGACTGGCCAGCTGCTTGATGTTCCTCCCATACTCCTCCACTGAGCGCTGCTGCCGCAAATGCCGCTTGAGCATCACAATGGCGCCCTCTTCATCCTGGGAGGTGGCAGACATGTCAGTGGGTGCAAGCTCAGGCTGGCCTCGGCTCCCTCCTGGAGAGAGTTACGGTCCAGCTCCTGGAGGTGCCCAAGGTGGGGAGGAAAGCCAGGCTTGGGGGTCCCATGGGAGATTCATATGTACCCTTCCTGCCTCTTCCCTTCTTTCCCAGCAATGCCAGTAACCCACCTTCCTCTCTCAACATCCCCAAATCCCATCTGATGTGCACCCTTCCTTGCAGGCCCAGCTCCAACTCTCCTTCCTGCCCTATCCTCAACAGTATACCAGTACAGACTCCGTGGCAAGAAAGGGAAGAACCCTTGGATTAGAACCAATTTAAGCTGGTGAATGGAGCACCCGGACATAGTATGTGCATTGTGGGGGGTGTTCTCAAGCTGTGCATTGTGAAGGCTGAACCAACTGCGAGCTGGGAGACTTTCTGGGTTCCCTGTATACCCCTTCCCTCCTAGCCCTCAGACTTGCCCCTCCTGGACTTACAAGGGTTCCATTGACTCTCCCACCCACAGTTCCCTCTCTGCCCAGTGCCCCTGGCTGCCACCGTGCCCAGCAGACCTTGGGCGTCTCATCAGAGATGACATAGAGCTCCTGCTCGCTGATCCAGGCCTCAGCCTCGCCTGCATCCAGGTAGTACTGCTGGGCTTCATTGGCGTCCCTCAGGCGCTGCAGCCGCGCAGCTGCTGCCTCCCGCAGCGTGTCCCATGAGTCCTGCAGGTGCCGCAGGCGCTCCTCAATGTCCCCCCAGTCGACCTCAGGGGTTTCCACCAGCTGGTATCCTCTCTGTAGCACAGCCTCGATCCGTGGCGTGTGGCCCACGATCTCGTTCTGCAGCGTCTGCAGCCCAAGAGGAGACGCTCAGAGACAAGGCCTCCCCGCCCACCTATCACCCCGCAGGGGGCCGCCTTGCACACACACCCCTTCCCCCATCAGGAAAGCAAGTCCTGAGCAGGGGATGATGACCATGGGCCAGGCACTATGCTAAGCATGTCACAAGCATGATCTGCTCTAAGCCTCACCAGCTTGTGGGAACTGCCCAGAACAGTTATGGTACTTGTGGAAGGAAAGCCCACGGCGCCTCTCGATTCCAAAGCCTGTGCTCTGGTTTGCTACCGTTCTTCCTCTACCCCAGCACGGCTCGATTTTTTTTTTTTTTTTTTAATGTGTGTATATGAGAGGGAAGGGGAAATAATTGTAAAATGGCCTCTTGAGCTAGATCTTATTTTAGAAGCTTTTGCTCCATATGAAACAACAGCAGACAACTGCCTCGTGCTGAGTTTAGGTTGTCTGGCTTTCCCCCCTTCCTATTGCTCACTTGCAGAGATGTAGTCTGTATGCACTACTTCATGTTTGAGCCTGTGGTCACCCAGATGACACTTTCTTACCACTCTGGGGATCGGGTCACCTCTTTCTCCAGGAGGCCCTGACACACACGATAACTCACTTTTTGGATTCTAGAAGCTCAAAGCTAGTTGCTTCTTACGCGTAGTCTCTTCGGCTCCTTAGGTCTTATGTCCTCCTTTTCTATAGTTTCCCCATGGGGCTTTAAAACTGTCTGGAGGGCAGGGCAGGGGCAGTACACATGGGTAGCACAGTGACTGCCAGTGCTTACAGCAGATATTAAACAGCAAGCTCCACAAGGCACCCAGCCTGCTGGTAGGCATTTTTACACTTTCTGCTCTGAATCTCGATTTTATTGATTTCCTGTGCTCTCTGCAATTGTAGTCAAACAATCCATGTTGTTACCTCCATCTGTCTCTTCATTACCCTGGGATCTTATGACCTCTACAGGGTACCTGAAAAATGTATTTCTCTCTTTTTATGCTATTATTTACTAGTCTCCTGTGAAATGGGCCTACTTAGGGTTTCTTTTTGCCTGACTTTATTCATTCAAAAATATTTATTAAGTTCCTTTCTATGTGCCAGACCCTGTCCTAGGTGCTGGGAACCTGCCCTCATGAAGCTTACACTCTAGTAGAGGAACCAGATGATAACCATGTAAATAAATGAATAAGTGTAGATAACATGCTACAAGGAAAACATAACGTGGGATGAGGAATGTCTGCCCAGGTGTGATGGTGACTACTTTAGCTAGAGGAGTCATGCCTTCCTGAGGTGATGACTTCTTCTTTTTGTTTAAATTGTGATTTGGGTGAAAGTTTACAGAGCAAATTGGTTTTCCATTCAACGCTTTCACATACATTTTGTTCTATGACATTCACTGCAATCCCCATAATGTAATAGCACTGCTCCGACTTCCTCCCTGGGTTTATTATTTCCCTTCTTTCCTATTGCTTCCTGCCTTCTGAGTTTTATCCTTGGGGAAGTACTGCCCTTTAATTTTTGTGATCATTCTAATGAGTGCATTCCCTGGCACTATTTTTAACCTCATAAGCTTGTCTATCGTTTGGCTGAAAATTGAGCCATGGGGGTGAGTTCAGTTCCGGGCTTGAAGAGTGTCTAAGGCCCATAGTCTTAGGGTTTCCACCAGTCTCTATCAGACCAGTAAGCCTGGTCTTTATTATGATTTTGTGTGTTGTTCCACCTAGTCTGGGACTGAGGAGATGACATTTGAAGGGGACATCAATGATGAGAGGGAGGCAGCCACACAAAGATCTGGGGGAAGAGTACTCCAGGCAAGAAGGAAGAGCAAGTGCAAAGGCCCTGGCATAGAAACCAGCCTGGCCCAACTGAGGGCCAGAAGAGCTGAAATACTGTGGAGGAAGGGGAAAGTGACAAGACAAGAAATTTAGCGGTAGGCAGGGGCCAGATCTGGCAGGAAAGTGGTTCTTAGCCCTGGTTGCACAGTGAATAACTTGTGAATCTTTCAAGCATACACACACCCACATACATACATACAGCCAGAGGCCCACCCCTAGATCCTCATTTAATTGATCTGAGGTTGGTCTTGGGAACTGTGTCTGACAGTTCCCCAGGTGATTCTAAAGTGTAGTCAACATTGAGAACCATTGCTATAGCACCTTGTAAGATTTGATTCTAATTGTAATAGAGATCCATTAGAGTAGTGGTTCCCAACCAGCAGCATCAGGACCAGCAGCATCCAAGAACTTGTTAGAAATTTAAGTTCTGAGGCATCCTACCTATGGTTCAGCAGATCTCAGGTGGAGCCCAGCCAATTGCATTTTACCAAGCCCTTTGATGAATTTGATGTGCACTAATCTTTGAGAACCACTGCCAGAGGGGGTTTTAAGTGAGGAAATGTTATTGGCTGACTTGTGCTTTAGCCAAGCTAGTCTAAAATAGTCTTTACTAGGGTAGCCATGCCCCTCCTGAGATTGCCTTTCCCTTCTTGGCTAGAGGAATCACATCCGTATTTGTCTTGCCCTATTCCTGAAATAGCCTCCTCCAGCCAGGGAAGTCAAAAACCTTTTGGTAATAACATGCACAAAGACAGAGTCAAAAGTCTTCAGTGCTGGAAAAGTCTATGTGACTTATTTTTACAGCTGAGGAAACTGAAGCCCTAAGGATACTATCTCCTATGTGGCTTCCTCTAACTGAAAATTGTGCCATTAACTGAACCCCCACCTCTGTCACCTTCTATCCCAGGTCCTTGTCTATCATGCCACGGTCCCTGACTGGATCATATCATTTGGAAGCAAAGGATCTGAAGGAGCTTTTAAACATCTTTGAAAAAAAAATTCAGGCCCTTTGCTGGGCTCAAAAGTTCCTGCAAGCAGATGTCAGGGAGGGAAGTGCTGCCTGCCATGACCTTATTTCCCCCAGGATCTGCAATACCGACTACCACATGAGTGAGACACGTTGCCCGCCTCTAGGTTCTCAGTCCCCATGCTCTCCTTGCTCATGGTTGGGGCCGCCCCCACTTCCTGGACCAGAGAGCAGACCAGGAAGGAGGAGGAACTCTTGGCCCAAGAGAAGGGTCTTTGGCAGCCCCTGGCTGGGCATGGAGGCTCTGTACCCCCATGCAGCTGGCCTGCTTTGAGGATGCACACTCCTCTTACAATCCTGACCCAAGAGGCTATGTTTGCACCTGCTCATTTCCTAGATTCTGGGCAAGGCCATGGAAGTTCCCAGTCAGACCTAAAAGAGAGCAGGAGCAGCAAAGGATATCTGCTCCAAGGGCTCGGAGTCCAAGTTTAATGGCTTCCTCATAGGGCTGGAGCCTCACAAGGATTCTCAGGTGTCCCAGAAAAATGGAACTTACTCACCCTGAGGATACCCAGCATGCCAAGCTCAGCCCTAGAAAAGTCACAAGGCCGTGTTATGGAGAGAAACCAGGAGTTACTGGCCACCTCTCACCAAGGCCAGTGAACACAGAAGCTGTGGAAGCACACTAAACCCCAGGCAGGCCTCCCAGGTCCTGCACTCACCTGTGTCCTGTGGAATCTAACTGGCCTCTCCTCCTCCGTGGTTCCCTAAGAATTCTCTTTGCAATCTCCAAAACCTGCTCTTTCTGCTAGGAGGCTGCAAACACAGTTTGGGGACCCAACAAGATCAGGAATCTGGGGAGACGTCTAATGTCACTAGGCTGCCTCTCTGGGGTGGGTTAGGGCCAGGAGGAGGGCAAGGGGACCTGGAGAGGTAAGGAAGGACTCACCTGGTTCTTCTTCATGAACAGCTGCACGGTTTGCAGATTAATGCCGTAGTCGGCTGACTGGGCCAGAGGTAGCCTCTCTTCCACCCAGAGCTGTGGAGACCAGAAGTAGGTGATAGCTGATGGCCACCCTTTCCCGAGGACTCACTGGGGGCCAGATATAGCTTTGCTTGCAGTGTCTCCCTGGTTCCTCCCAACACTCCATCGGGGTTTTGCCCCATTTTACAGGTGGGGATGTTTTGGTATTTGACCTGTGGTTTCCAATAAGTCATTCCTGGTCACATAGGGGGATGATAATGGAGCTGGATCATGAACTCAAGTCTATGAGGGCCCAAAGTCCATGCTCTTAACCATCAATGCTTGTATGTGTACAGTGATTTATCATTTAAAAAGCTTGGGGTTTACTCTTATATTTAATGTAATCATCACGACAACCCTATGAGAAGGGAGTGAGATGACCAGACATCTGCTGCCAAGAATTGTTCTGGGTGGCAGCCAGTTACCCCTAATGACAGCTGCCAGCTTAGCCGTGGGGGCTGAGGGGAGGCTGCAGGCCACACACCGTCTCATCCTCTAAGTCCCGGCTGATCTGCAGCTTGGCTCTAGATGATTCCAGCTGCTTCTTCCTCCTCCCCAGAGGCTCCAGGAGGTCCAGGAACCGCTTTTCGATGCTCACATCTGTATCCTCTGCCTCCTCACCCAGCGAGGGCACTTGGGCAAACAACTGCTCCAGCTCCTCCTTCCTCACATTCACTTGGTCCTCCACTCGCTGAGACACAGGGGGACAATGTCAGTACCAGCCTTGGCATCTGGGGAGCCCATCCCTCCTCTTCACTTCCTGTAACCCACCTATTCCCTAAGGCCCAGTTTGAGCTTAGCCTCCTCCAGGAAGTCCCGTAGGTGCCCCCACACATCATCCTCTCCTCTGATGCCTGTCCTGTATTTCTCATGCATCCTTCTATTAACCCATTTAGGATCCCTTGCCTACCCACTTCAAAGGGGTTGGAGATGGGTTATGAACAAAGACATTTTTACATGAAATAAAAGCAAGTGCAGCAAGAGGAGGGGAAGGAGTACTTACTTTCAGGTTGTGAATTTGCTCTCAAGGGCCTTTCTAGCTCTAACACTCAGAGACTACAGCCCACTCACGTGCCTTCAGTTTCGCCAACATCCGGTTGACGCTGGTCAGGTCCTTTCCCGGGTCATCTGACCGCAGCTGGTCCTCCATGGCGCTGATCCACTTGTTGAGGTCGGCATGGGTCTGTGAGCGTAGGTCAGAGCTCCGGGCAGCCGAGAGTTGTTTGGCCTTTTCCTGTGTGGTGGCCTGCAGCTCATCCCAGAGCCGGTGCAAGGCATCCAGCTTCTGGGACACTATGGTCGCAAACTGGGGCTTCTCTTCCATCAGCTGCTTTCCTTCCTGTGTGGGCAAGGAAGAGAGTTCACCCTCTGAGGACCAAGGCAGCCTTGGTCAGCTCTGCTCCAGGTGGTTGCAAGGGGCTACCCTGAAGGGAGGTCAGTAAAGAATCTGCTAGAACTCAGGTGAGGCTCAACTGAAAGTTATTTGCAGTCAAAAGGGAAGCAAGGAGAGCCGTGTTTGGGGAAAATGACTCATAGAGTCTGCAATATAAGGAGGTGGCTGACAAAGGTCAGCTGGTACTAAAAAAGAGCCATCCAGGTACACTCAGCATGGAAACCTTCCCAAGATCCTCTCTTGCTCATCTTCCCACAGGTTGTGCACCAAATTTTGATGATCTCTGAGGTTGCCTTATCTGGTTTCCACCTATGTAAATGTACCCTTTGGGGTGGGTAAGGTGTGATATGAGTTGGGCCCAGAAATATGTGTTAATAATAGTTAATATTTAGTGAGTGCCTAATAATATAGTAGCATAGTGCCTAAGGCACTTGACTGCTAACCAGACTGCTAACCACTCCTTGGAAGGAAGATGGGGCAATCTACTTCCATAGTGATACTACCTCAGAAACCCAAGGAGGGGTCGCTGTGAGTTGGGTCCAACTCCATGGCACATAACAGCAAACAACAACAATAATTGCCAAGTAATATTCTAAGTGCTTTATATGTTTTAAAGTATTTAATGTTCACAGTTCCATCAGGTAGGTACTATTATTACCTTTCATTTTATAGATGAAGGAATGGAGACACAGACAGAATAAAGAGCCAGGCAGTCTAGCCCAAGCGCCTGAATCTTTAACCACTATGTGACATGGCCTCGTATGGACACTGTGTCTGCTTCTTCATGGACAACCACAGGTTCCAGGTACATTATTCCCAGGTCTGATTCCAGCCACATTTTGATTTGTGCCACTGGGAAAGTTCACGAAAGAGGTGACCCTTAGGTCCCTATCTCTGAGGGATTTGAATGACCATTCCCTGGTGGTTCTGACCATTATCCTGGGGGTGCTTGTGAGGACAATGAAAGGCAAACTGAGATAAATGCTGTCTTGGTCCTGGTCTATCTAGGTGTTCCCAGTGTCCTAGACTTTCCTCAGACTCAAGTCTTGCCTGAATCTGACCAGGCTTAACAGGAACTCTTATCAGGAACTCTGAAACTTTACCACTTAGTATTTAGAGGAGTTCTATACTTTCCAGCAAGCTTCAGGATGGTGTTTAGGCCCTGGTAGAAGGCCCGTTAAGGCACACATGTCTGTGCTGAGAGCCCACCACCATTGCTTTACTTACTGCATCAATGTTCTCTAGCCACCCTTGGTGGGAAGCCAACTCTGCCACAAATGCCTGGTGCTTTAGCCACTTGTTGTGAAGGTTTCGTGATTCATCATAGGAGACATCCTGAGATGTCAGCAGCTTGTCATTGATCCAGAGAGTGAGCTGTGGGCAGAAAGAGTGAGTCCAATCATTCCTGAGTATATCTCCTTGACCAAAGACACAGGGCAGGATTAGCTGTCCATCCCTGGCTGCAGAAGGAGAAGGCCTCATGACTTAGTGAGCTGAGGGGAGGAAGTGTGAGCACAAGAGAGTACTAATGCCCAACTCGAGATCCCTAACTCCCAACTTAATGCATGTTATTCTAGGGTTAAATTATGGGCCCTGGTGTATCTTCTCTACTAGAGTGTGTACAGTGTGAAATCAGGGATATTTTATTCTTCTTTCCATATTTCCAGGACCTAGGGCAGCGTCTGACATATTGCAGGAACTCAATGAGTGTTTACTGGATGGATAAATAAATCTGTTCTTTGGCAGTGGGGTGAGAAGTCATTAACAAACACAGAGAAAATGTTATCTGAGGAGGAAGCCAAGGACAGATCCTATAATTAACAATGAGGGAAGAACTGTGATGAGCATCCAATGTTTCCAAGATGTCCTGTCATCTGGCCAAGCCTGGTTTCTGCCAAGAGCAGAGGTAGATGGAAAAAAAGTTGTTTGGGCTAAAAGGAAAGGGGTAGGAAGATAAGAGCAAGAAAGCAGTTAAGGAAAGCCCCATTCCACACAGGAAGTACTACTGGTGGAGGGCCCTTGGAGTGCAGGTAGAAGGCCTTCCCTACACAACCAGCCCCAGATTGAGCAAGGACCTTCTAAGCCTGTAGTTCTCCAACTAGGAGGCCTGTTTAATGTGCTGCTTTCTCTCTCTTATCATGTGAGGTTCTGATTCATCTGGGCCTGAATGGGGCCCAGAAATCTGCATTTAACTGGGCCCAAGACTGGCTACCTAATTTGTAGGGCCCAATGCAAATGCAAATTTATTAAGAATTTCAAGATGATGACAACAGAGCATTAAACAAAGAGCAGGGCCCTTCTAAGTGTGGGGTCCTGGGTGTCTGCACAGGTCTTCAACTCATGAAGCCAACCCTGGCAAGATGAATCTCATATAGATAGTCCTCAGACCATTCTTTGAGAGGCCCTGACTTGGAGAATTAAAGCATGACTTTTTAGATTTGAAAAAAAAAAAAATTGCGGAACCAAAGATTCTAGAGGAGTCATCTAGTACCCAGAGTTCCCCATTCACAGAGTCACAGAACTCCAGAGTCAGAAAGGTCCCATGGTCACCTCTAGGACAGTTTGTTCCTGAAAGAGGTCTCCTGAAACATGGCCCCTGCCTTGCTAGAGCCTTACCTCCTGGCAGTTCTGGAGGAAGTTCTGTAGCTCCAGGTTGTCTCTCAAAAGAACTGAGGCCTCCTCGGCCTTCTCGTTGTTCTTCCTGTGCCTGGAAGGGAAGAGGCAATTACAACAGTGCCGAGCCTGGGGTCCCTGCATAGCACCACCAGCCCAACCTGGTTCCAGGGCCCTGTCCCCTGTGATTCTAGGGACAGGGGAGTACCTGTCCTCAATAAGCTGCACCTTCTCCTTGATCTTCTCTGAATAGAGGTTTCCTTCAGCTACCAGCTTGTTTCCAGAATCCACAGGATTTAAGACTTTATCACGGTTGTTCTCCATAGACATCAAAAAATCTTCAAACTTCCGGATCCCAGCCTCTGCAGCTTCAAGGGAGTCTGGGGGCTCCAAGTGAGCCAGAGTGTATTCCTGTTGAAGCAAGATTCCCGACAAGGCATGAAGAGAGGCTGAGGAGGCAATGAGGGCACCCGCAGGAGGAGTTACATGCAGACTACATTATGAATGGTGCTCTCTACTAGGGGCCTATGAATCTGTTTGCTTAAAACCACATGGAAGGTAACCACTTCTGCCTCTAACTAACCCTGAAACAGGATATAGTTTTGGACACAGGGCTGGAAAAGCTTATGATAAAATAGAAAGAGAATTTTATTCAAAATTAGTGACCAGAGAAAGTCCAAGAAAAGCACCATTTGGTCCTTGAGCCCAATAGCACAGCGGTAGACTCACCTCTAATGCTGTTCAGTGTCTGGAGAGACCCTCCCCTGTTCCCTAACCCTGAATGCTTCTCTCTCTACCTGGTTGCTGAGGATGGTTTCAGCCTGCTTGGCATCCTTCTGGAACTCCTGGAAGCCAAGGCACTGGGCGAGGGAGCGGCCACGGCTTTCCCACATCCGGCGCAGGGCATCCCAGCCAGTGTCCAGGCCCTCTAGCCGCTGGCCCAAGAGCAGGTACTCTGGGTCTGTCTGGCCATGGATCACCTTCTCTCCAGATGCTTTGACATGCTGGTAGCTCTCTTGATGCCCATCAATCTCGTCTTTGATGGCTGCATGCTGCTGCAGGAGCTGCTCAGCCTCGGGAAGTGACTCGGGCATGTCCTCAGAGGCCACAGCCTTCTGGGCCATGGACAGCCAGGCCTGGAAGTCATCCAGATCCTGCAGGAAGGCCTGCAGCTGGCTGGCTTCCCCCAGGGAGGCCTCCTGGCCCTGCAGGGCTCGCTGTAGGCCCTGCCACAGCTCCTCCACATACGCTTGCCGGCGGCCAATGTCCTCCTTCAGCTCAGGGTGTGACTCCATCAGGCGCCGCGACTCCCGCTCCAGGGCACCCACACGGGCCTGGATGGCAGCCACATCACGCTCCAGCCCTGACAACTTCCGCTGGATGGCGATGACCCCTGCCAGGTCCCGGCCCAGGTCCTTTGTGGACTCTACTACCTTCGTCTTGTCCAAGATCCACTTGCTGGTCTCCTCACAGTCCACACAGTAGTTGTGCACTCGGAGGGCCGAGTCCACTGCCTCCCGCCGCTCTGATACCATTATCTTGAATGCCTGCCACCTGCAGGGCACAGACACAGCTCAAAGTCAGTGAGGGGGCTCAGGGAAAACAAGTTGTTTAACTCTTCCCAAAGGGCATTGCTTCCCAGATTTCCCACCAGAGTCCTCACAGACCTTGTTGTGGGGGGGCAGAAATATACACACACACACACACACACACGCACACACACACATACTCAATAAACTGCAGGTGAATAAAATTAATTAGTCAAAGACATATATATGCCAATCAAACCTTTCAATCAGCAGGAGGCCATCAATGATGTGAATCTAACCATAAGTAAAGGGACATGGCATTTAGTTAGCCTGTATATGTGGTTGAGTTTCAGGTAAACATACAATTTCCCCAGATTTTTGTGAAATGCTGAAAATTTCACATTATTAACTTCAGGACTGTTTCGGACATGGAGGAACTATGTAAAAGCCTAAAGTCACATTACAAGTGCCCCAGGGCCTGAAAAAATCACTTGTGTCTAAAAGAAAAGTGGCTTGGTGAAGAGAAAGAATAGGCAGAAGAGGAAGAAGTTGGAAATTGTAATTAAAATAGATAACATACCTAAGTGTCCATCAGTGGGTGGATGGATAAACAAAATGTGGTATATACGTATATACAATGGAATACTATGCAATGATAAAGAATTATAATGAGTCCATGAAACACCTTATAACATGGATTTATTTGGAGGACATTTTGCTGAGCGAAATAGTCAATTACAAAAGGACAAATATTGTATGATACCACTTTTACAAAAAGTCAAGAATAAGTCTGCACACATAAAGCAAGACTGCTTGAAGGTTACCAAGGATGCTAAGGGAGGAAGGGAGAATCACTTACTAGATGATGTTGTTCTTATGTGCCGTTGAGTCAGACCTGACTCATAGCAACCCCTCCTTGGGTTTCCAAGGCAGTATCACTACGGAAGTAGACTGCCCAACCTTCCTTCCGAGGAGTGGCTGGTGGGTTTGAACCACCAGTCTTCTGGTTAGCAGTCAAGTGCCTTAGGTGCTATACTACCAGAGCTCCTGCTTACTAGATAGTAGACACATATTAATTCTGGTGAAGGGAAAGGAAATTCACAATAGAAGGAAGTCAGCACAACATGACCAAGGTAAATGGAGACACTGAGAGGTACACAAGGAAAAGGTCAACTACAGTAAAAGCTATATCTGTGGAAGGAGGCAATGGAGAAGCTCAATATCATCAGTGAGAGCAAGGCTAGGGCCAACCGTGAAGCAGATCATCAATTATAAGTTCAAGTTGAAGCTGAAGAAAATTAAAACAAGTCCACAAGAGCCAAAATATGACCTTGAAGATATTCTATGTGAATTTAGAAACTATTTCAAGAATAGATTTGACACACTGAACACCAATGACCAAAGACCAGATAAGTTGTGGGATGACATTAAGAACATCACACATGAAAAAAGCAAAAGGTCATTAAAAAGACAGGGAAGAAGGAAAAGACCATAGTGGATGTCAGAAGAGACTCTGAAACATGCTCTTGAACAGAGAGAAGGTACAGTAAATGAAAGAAATGATGAAGTAAAAGAGCTGAACAGAAGTTTCAAAGGGCAGCACGAGAAGACAAAGTAAAGCATTATAATGAAATGTGTAAAGACCTGGAGTTAGAAAACCCAAAAGGGAAGAACATGCTCAGTATTTCTTAGCTGAAAGAACAGAAGAAAAAAATCCAGCCTTGAGTTGCAATACTGAAGGACTGTATGAGCAAAACACTGAATGATGCAGGAAGCATCAAAAGAAGATGGAAGGAATACATAAAGTCACTGTACCAAAAAGAACTGGTTGGCATTCAACCATTTTTGTTGTTGTTAATTGCTGTCGAATTGGACTCAACTCATAGCGACCCCTCCTTGGGTTTCTGAGGCAGTATCATTATGGAAGTAGATTGCCCAACCTTCCTTCTGAGGAGTGGCTGGTAGGTTTGAACCACCAGCCT